ATGAATTTGTTGTTTCGTTGTTAAGCTCTTTAATATCATGCATACAACTATTTAGCATCTATAGGATTATAATTTCTAATACCTGAATAGAAACCCTAGATCTAGTAATCATCCTTCCATCAAATACATCTCGGTTACATAAGAACAACTACTTTGTTCGACCTAGTTTATTATATTTTATGCAATTTACTGTTTTATAATTATTTATTGTCTTAATTTATTATTTATTAGCCTAGCTTAATCGTAACTATTAGATCTAATTGGTTTTCTAGCTCCTTGTGGATTCGATCCCTAAGTACTACAGCTGATCTCTTATTTGAGAGAGTAAGTCACTCCTTATGGTAATTGAAGTGATATCAATATACAAATATATTAGTAAATATAAAATTTTTATTTCATTTTTCTGATTTTACAGATGATTAAATAAAAATTTAAAATTGAATATTTTAAGCATATAATTAAATCTAAAATTAAGAAAACTTTGTTGTTAAATATAATTTAAAATTTATTACTTTTATTTCTGCACATGGTGCACGAAAACACCTGTTATTTCAATATTTGACTACTACTAATATCTCAAATAAAAAAAAAACAAAATTTATTCACATACGTAGGGCTGGGCATCATTACTCGTTACTCGTCTTAAACTCGGTATTTGACTCGTACCCGCCTTAAAATTTCAAGTACTCGGTGTTGTCAAGGCAAGTAACAAGGCGACAATTTTCATTACTTGCAAGACTAAGTCAAGTATCAAGTATCATTATTATATTTTGTATTTGACTCGTTCCGCCCCGCTACTTGTTCCATTACTTGCTATTTGTTACATAATCTATTAATTAGTTTTTCATATTTGTCTTTTCTTTTACTTGCATTTAGGACTAGGCATAAATACACACTACTCTTCTTATATTTGTTACTTATTTTGTATCCAATCTTGATATTTGAATACTCGTCGTTATCAGTCAAGTATTACACAACAACAAATATTAAAAAATTAGTAATATGATTTGTTATTACTTGTTACTTATTTAGAGAAGATATTCTTGTTATCGTGATCATTATACAATGTTTATATACCATAATATGCATTTTTTAATTTATCTTTTTTATAATATGAACAAATATTCTATTTAAAGTAATTTACATGTTACTTTAAGTAAAATAAACAAAACAAATTTTCATGTCTATTTCTAACAGAATGTTATTTAGTTAGTAGTTCTTAAATATTNTTCTTGTTATCGTGATCATTATACAATGTTTATATACCATAATATGCATTTTTTAATTTATCTTTTTTATAATATGAACAAATATTCTATTTAAAGTAATTTACATGTTACTTTAAGTAAAATAAACAAAACAAATTTTCATGTCTATTTCTAACAGAATGTTATTTAGTTAGTAGTTCTTAAATATTCCGAAAAAGCTCGTAAATAGTGCACAAGTACTCGTAAATAGTAAGTAATAGAGCAAGGCAAGTAACTTGCAAGTCGTTTATTTTTCATCAAGTACTCGAAATAGTAAGTACTCGTTTTAAACAAGTCAAGTACAAGTCGAAAATTTTATTATTCGTACAAGGCAAGTCAAGTCGCGAGTACATGCAAAATAGCAAGTACTCGCCTTGCGCCCACCCTACGGTCAATTATTTGTTTCTACGATATGACAAACTGGATAATTTGTTTATATAATGATAAAAACAGAAATAAAATTTACAATATTTAATACCAAAATATGATGAACAAATACCAATTTCTTATGGAGGCAAGACACTATTTCCTTAATTCTTTAATTGCTTGTAGTGTGACGGTGTTTACGCAACAGAATCCCAAGATACAACCACACTTCAACTTTTCGCGTCACTCAAAATAGAAGCTAACGTACCTCATTTTGTGTTGTACTCTCAGACTCAAAAAAATAAAATAATCTCTAAAGTATTCATATGAGAGAATGTGACTTTTCTTTTGGTATTGTTGTGTGTAATTTTCTGTAATGCTAACAAGCCATTTTATAGAAAAATAATGAAAACACAGATTTCATTATCAACATAAAATGAAACCTCCATAGTGCACTTAATAAAGACTTTAATTTTTGCCAATTAATATGTAAATTTATTTCACATTTGACCAAAAAATTAGAGAGTAAAATTCTTATTGTTCATCAATATAAAAGATCACCATATACTTGGTTTATAAGATGGCGTTAATCAACACAAAGTCCAACTAACAAATTAAAACCCATATCCAATCAAATATCTAATGTGTGTATTTATTATTTTGTATAAGTTATTAAATCACATACATTGGACCTCCATTTCTTTTCAAATAAAATTTATTTTTGACATATAAATACACTATTCATAATGTCCAATTCCAACAACCTATACTAATTAATATCCTTTTATTAATCTAAATAGAAATAGATGATGTTATAATTCGTAAATCTGAAGAAAACCATACTCATATATGGTAGGCATGTTAATAAGAAGCATTTTAACATCTAACTTTTAAAATTGCAAGATCATTCAAAAACACTAATTTTATTTAAATAATTCTAAAAATAGCTGCACTAATCGCGGGTTAAGAATCTAGTACTAAGGCCTTCATTGGTACATCATATGATAAATCAGTAGCAGTATGCTGTAGAAACAGGGGAAAAGTGCCTATTTCAACCTGAACTTTACCCGTCGTGCCTATTCCTTCCCGAACTTTATAGTAGTGTGTATTCCTCACTGAGCTAATCAAAAATATAAAAATACTACCTGAACTTTATGTGTTGTGCCTTTTCATTCCCGAACTTTATAGTAGTGCATATTTCATACTGAACTTAACAAAAAATCAAAAATACTACATGAACTCTCCAAATCGTGCTTATATATAAACTGACCGTAAAAAATATTATTCATCCATTAATTATCAAAACGACGTCATTTTGGGTAAATTCTGTAAAATTAAAAACTAAAAAATATTACATGAACTCTCAAAATTGTGCTTGTATATATTTATATCGACCATCAAAGATGTTAGTCATCCATTAATTATCAAAATGACGTCAAATTTGTAAAATTAAAAAAAAAAATTTGCGAGTTTCGAACTTTCACACTGGTAGACAAGTAAGAGCAAAAAATAAAGTAAAATTAATGTTCACTTGTTTAAACATTAATTTATATATAATTTTTACTTTAATCAATAAATTATATATAAAATTAATGTTCACTTGTGTAAACATTAATTTATATATATCAAATTTTTATTGTTACTTATTTATACAAGAAATTTACTTTTTCTAAGTTAATATGCTCTTACTTGTCCACCAGTGTGAGAGTTCGAACCTCGCAAAAAATAATTTTTAATTTTTAAAAAATTGACGTCATTTTTATAATTAACATACTAAAATATTTGATGGTCCATATAAATATATATAAGCACAAGAAAGTTACTTTGTACTAACAGTTAATATGCTCTTACTTGTCCACCAGTGTGAAAGTTCGAACCTCGCAACAAATAATTTTTAATTTTACAAAATTTTGACATCATTTTGATAATTAACGGATGACTAACATCTTTGATGGTCGATATAAATATATACAAGCACAATTTTGAGAGTTCATGTAATATTTTTTAATTTTTAATTTTACAGAATTTACCCAAAATGACGTCGTTTTGATAATTAATGGATGAATAATATTTATTACGGTCAGTTTATATATAAGCACGATTTGTAGAGTTCATGTAGTATTTTTGATTTTTTGTTAAGTTCAGTATGAAATATGCACTACTATAAAGTTCGAGAATGAAAAGGCACAACACATAAAATTCAGGTAGTATTTTTATATTTTTGATTAGTTCAGTGAGGAATACGCACTACTATAACGTTCGGGAAGGAATAGGCACTACAGGTAAAGTTTAGGTTGAAATATGCACTTTTCCCGAAATATGCACTTTTCCCGAAATATGCACTACTATAAAGTTCGGGAATGAAAAGGCACAACACATAAAATTCAGGTAGTATTTTTATATTTTTAATTAGTTCAGTGAGGAATACGCACTAATATAAAGTTCAGGAAGGAATATGTACGACGGGTAAAGTTCAGGCTGAAATAGACACTTTTCCCGTAGAAACCGTATGCTTTTATTAAAGTTTTTAATAAAGTGATTGACAAAACATTAGCAGTATACAATTTTAAAAATTTTCATAATAGTTAGTATAATAATATATTTCTTTTAATATATATATATATATATATATATATTTATAATATATATTAATAATAAATTTTTATTAAAATTAATGAATCTTATTCATTATATAAATGCTATTTACAAATGTAAAATTTATTTTAAAAATATTAAATTATTTTCAATATAAATATATTTTATTATTATTAAATAAATAAAATTAATTAATTATAATTTATATATAATTAATTTTATTTATTTATTGGTAGAGTAGTAAATGATTCATATATAAAATTATCACAAAAAGTAATATATGTTATACAATTTATTTATTAGTGTCTAAATAATATGTTTATATGGATAATATATACATATATATTATGTTATTTTTTATTAAAAATAAATTAATTATATATAACTATTTTTAAGTTTTATATTTTCTATCTGCAAATGCTCTTCTAAAAGCTTTATATGAGAGAGTATTGAGCAAATAGCACTTGGAGCATTTGTATTTGATAAATGTTTTTCTAAATGTTTCTTTAACAAATGTTGATTGGATAACAGAGAACATAATTCTTATGCTAATGCTCTACTAATCCAGCCATAAGTTAAACAACACTATTATCTATGTATATATGATATTGATTGGCGGGTGCCCAACTGAAGTCCATATTCAGCCAATTCTTTTACTCAAGCCCAAATGTTCAATCATATGAGCTTCAAAGCCCATAATATTTGCACAAGGCTATTTGATATCCGTAGCAAAAAAAATGAATTAACAAAAAGATGAAACAACATCAGATACAGATAGGATGGATAAGAAAAAAATCTAATAGTTGAATGCTATTGGCTACCTTATCCACCCAAGAGACTCTTGGCTTCTCATTTTTCACAATATTATCTTCTCTCCTCTCATCAAATAAGCAAATTTGCTCATCATTTCATTACAGAGAAACAAACCAAACCAGAAAAAAAAACATGGCAACTCAAGCTGCCGGTCTCTTTAACTTCGCCATAACAACCACCGGCGGAAAAAAACTCAACCTTTTCACTACAACCAACCGTCCAAGATCCCTCTCCTTCACCAAAACCGCCATCCGCGCCGAGAAAGCAGATGCCGCCGCCGCCGCTCCAGCCGCCGCCGTGAAAGAAGAAGCTCCGGTGGGATTCACCCCGCCGCAGCTAGACCCAAACACGCCGTCACCGATCTTCGCGGGAAGCACCGGCGGTCTTCTCCGCAAGGCCCAGGTGGAAGAGTTCTACGTTATTACATGGAACTCACCCAAGGAACAGATCTTTGAGATGCCGACAGGAGGTGCGGCGATCATGAGGGAAGGTCCGAACTTGCTGAAGCTGGCGAGGAAAGAGCAGTGTTTGGCTTTGGGGACAAGGCTTAGGTCCAAGTACAAGATCAACTACCAGTTTTACAGGGTGTTCCCTAATGGTGAGGTTCAGTATCTTCACCCGAAAGATGGGGTTTATCCGGAGAAGGCGAATGCGGGAAGAGAAGGTGTTGGTCAGAACATGAGATCTATTGGGAAAAATGTTAGCCCCATTGAAGTTAAGTTTACTGGTAAACAGAGTTATGATTTGTAAGATGTGAAGATAAAAGCTATGTGAAAAAACAAAACAAAAATATCATGTGGAATGATGACTATGTTTGATGATAATTTTAATGGCGTTTATTTTAATAATTATTCTCGGATTATATTTTGTTGCTGTTATATGAATCTTGTTGTGGTCATTCTTAGTAAAGTTTATATGAAGACAAGAGGTATCTAAACTTAATATCAGTAAGTTATATGGAAATGTTCCAATTTCAATCAATTTGACAGTGCAACAGAGATAGAAGCCAACGTTGGTACCAGCCTACCAGGGTAGTATACAGATCAAGAACATGAAATCTCTTTCAAAACAGGTACTTTGCTTCCTTTCAAGATTTTCTGACTAATTTGGAAGTCAGCAAACAGATTTTTATTCAATATAAAATGAAGATCCAAACTTATAAATTCAAGCAGATTAAGATGATTCAGAGTTCCAGCTACATCAAATAAGGACCATGTAGGAGACTTTAATAACTTTACTTTGCATAATTGAATCTCATTTAGTGTTGTTTTACTATGATCTCGGGGTCCGGTAAGTTTTGATGCATTTTGATGCTCTAAATTTTCATGCGTCTTCTTTTTAGTCTATATATGTTCAACTACGCGTCTGGTAGTGGTTTGGATCAAAGGAGTTGGTGAGGTTCATAAAGCTTGGAATAAAATGGACAATACACTTTTGCATAAAATATTGATGTAAGTCAAGAAAAAGGATCTTAAAAATCATGCGATGCAAAATTTAAGATCTCTAAGCCACCAGCAAATCAGATATCTACTTGGCAAGATGGGCATTGGAATATTATAGCGTATATTTGTCAATATATTTACTTGGCCATCACTTAACGTATTCGTTAGATATGGCAAGTCTAGATGTGATAGGTGATAGAGTCAATATCCTGCATTCAAGGAATTGTCTATGTACCACAACATGTAATCGATGGAGATCAATAACACAGAATGCATTCATATTGAATTGACATCATCCTCCTCTTCCTGGTCACCGTAGCTATAATAAGAACTCCTGGAAGAAGAAGATGTGTCGTCTGAATATACCTCTCCTGAGCTGAAATACCACATAACACAACCATTTAATTGACTATAATAAAAGAAAAAGAACACACAACTAAGTAATTCATGAACCTTGATGACGATGATGATGACGGAGCTGGAAAAATAGCCACAAAAGTGAGACCTGGTTTCTGTTTCTTCAGCTCCTCAACAGGAAATCTACAACACAAAACAATGTCATATACGTGGTAAGTGGGAATAGCACTAAAAAGAAGAATATGAACAAATCAATCACTTACTTTGGTTCAAAAGTCGCAATCCCACCATCAGACACTAAACCGTGTTTGCTTGATACGTCCTATTGGAGACGAGTATGAGAAAACAAAAGTTCACAGAACAATCTAAGCACACACTTCCTTTGACAACTTACAATGTGCCGAATGGATTTGAACTCTCCCGCAAGTAGTGAATTCAAAAACAGCAACACTTCTCTCTGTGAATGCCGAGGTGACGTTCAGTACTAACATTTAAGAAAACGTCTTGTGGTTTTATCATTAGTACCTCTTTTAGATAATAGCAGTCGCACAACAATAGAGTCTGGAGTCGACTGTCTCTGCAGCTAAGTCCCAAATCCCTACACCATCAATCTCTTACACGATAAGACATTTAAAAACAAGATATTACACCAATAACGTCAACTCAAAAACGACATGAACCTCAAAAAGGAGCCATTAATTCCATAAGTTCCAGACAGATTTATGTACTTAAGTTGACGAAAACCCTGCAAAAGTTTGCTCGGCTTTAGAGAAACATATACATAGGTAGTAGTACCAAATAACAAAACAAAACTACAGGAGCCATACCATAATTATAGTTCTGGCCATGGCGTCGTTTACCCCAAATTGTAAGAGTGTTAGCGAGCTCAAGTTGGGGCAATTATCCACAAACTCTACCACGGTTGAACTTGTTGCAGAGTCTAGACCACCAATCACAAAGAACTTTGAGCAAACCTCAAAATGAAAAAAAAGTAATAACAGAAAAGGAAAGCTTCTTAGTGTAAACATTTTACCAGCTCCACCACAGTGCTCTAAGAACAAGTGCTCTATCAAGCGACAGTTCCTCGTGATTGACCCTAAATGCTCTACTGGATTCAACTTGTCACCTGAAACACTAGATAATGCAGACAAACAAAATGTGAAATCAGTGGCATTAAAAATGAACAGACATTAATAAATCAAAAGCATGGAAGATGGCAACACCAGACAACTTACAATCCAATAATCTTCAAATCAGCGAGATTAACACAGACTGACAACACATCACATAAGGACTTGCCAGGCATGAGTATCAGATTGTAAAGGTGTAGGCTTCTCAAGAGCCCCCTATAGTTTAAATGGAGAAAGATAGTTAATGCTCAAGCAGCAAAGGGTAAAAAACCATATTCTCTACTTGTTTATAAACTGGTAATCAAAGCACATACATACCCAGCATACCCGTGATTAAAAGTTAGTGGAGCAAGACAAGATCTTGTAAGCAAAAATATTGAACGGGAAGAAACACAACCAAGTTTAAGGGACCTGCAAGCATAAACAAAGCCTCAGTGATGACTACATACATTACATAGACCAACAAAAAAAAACCTCACCTGAGTTCTTTACCAGCACGATGGATCATAATACACACAACACCATTATCAACATTCTTAGCAGCCGTTGTGAGGTCGATGTGGGAGTAACAAACACGGTCCATTGCACACTTGTTAAACATTGTGCAGCACACAGAAGCTTGCATTAAAGACTTCATATCAAGCATCGAAAACACCTGAAAAATACGCATTAATAAAAACCATATATTAAAAAATGAAATACAAGTTTAAATGAGAAAATCTGGATTTTTTTATTAAACCTAACAAGAGAAAAACAAGTTTGTTATGAATATGAAATCTCACATTAATCTTACTGTACACAACATACAAAGAGTAGCTAACTAACTTACACCGTAACTGCACAACTGACAACTAACATACACCATATGCTAGTATTGCTGCAAACATTTGATATCTCCATCTTATAGACAAAGAGTAGTTTGCTAACTTACACCGTAACTGCACAACAAACAACTAACATACACCATATGATAGTATTGTTGCAAACAATTGATATCTCCAGTAGCTAGCTAACTTACACCGTAACTGCAAAACTGACAACTAACATACACCATTGTTGCAAACATTTGATATCTCCAGCTTATATACAAAGAGTAGGTTGCTAACTTACACTGTAACTAACTACTAACATACACCAAATGCTAACATACACCAAATGCTAACATACACCATATTTGATAAAACCTTGGTGGTTAGTTCAGGGAGAAGAGGCCAGGAGACAGAGTTTTGAGCCGTGGCGCGTTTCCTGATGCAGCGTTTGGTGGAGTTGTGGAGAAGCGACGCGAGCTGGAGAGTGCGATCGAGGAAACGATCGGAGGTGTCATCAGTGGAGGAGGGGGTGATAACTTTGTCGAGGACTCGATCGAAGGAGCAGGCGATGGAGAGTGGCGAGGAGGAGAAGAGAGGCAGGTCGGATAAGGAGAGGAAAGAGGAGATCGTTGTGTCGACGTTGCTTTGGTTGAAAGGTGGAGGGATACGGAGGGAGTAGGAGATGGGGTTTTCGACGGAAGGGTCGTGGCGAGGTCGCTTGGGGTTGGGAGGGTCCATGACTACACGGAATCAGTGTGTTACGAAAGGCTCTCTTTTTTGTGTTTTTTTTTGGTAATTGTTTTTGGTACAAAAGTTTTTCTTTGATAGGAGTGAATGAATGGAATCAGAGTGTTGCAAAAGCCTTTCTCTCTCTTTTTCGGCTAATTTTTGGTAGGAGTGAAGCAAGAAAGAGTTTTTTTTAGAGCTAAAGGTTCAAAATTATTTTAGACATTTCTCACATTGACTGTAATTCTGCAACAAAATCATCATCCCTAAGCGAAATTTTGCACATAAAAGCATCTGGGAAAGTTATTCATATCTAAACAATTTCAACCGTGTCAAATACAGCTTGAACAAATTATCAGTGTCAAATACGACAGTACCACCAAATACGACATGAACTATATTATAATTCAAAAAAACTACTTGAACTCGAACATGTGCCTCGTCACTCTTTAGAACAGACACAACACTAGACTAAAGTAATTTTTTAAAAATAATACTAGAAATTTACAATTATATATGCTACTATACTCTTTCATCTTCTCTAATTAAATTATTTTTGATTTTTATAAAAAAGTTAATATAAGTTGAATATACTTTGCCAAATAAAAGAAATTACCATTCAATTTTTAAAATTTTAAAATATTTTATACATGTACATTTTGTAAATAGTTGCAAAACATGAAATATATTTAATTTTGTATAGTTGTAAATATTTTATTATTTATATTTTAGTATAATATAAGTTTATTAAAGATAATAATTAAAAAACATGTTATTATATTTATAAGAATCAAAAATAATAATAACCAAAGTTTAATTAGAGAAGATGAAAAAGTATAGTAGCATATGTAATTGCAAATTTATAATATTATTTTTAAAAAATTGTTTTAATCTAGCGGTTGATGTGTCTGTTTTACAGAGCGAAAATGCAGGGGATCGATTCTTAGAATGTGCATACTTTTTTAAAAAAAAATAATGAAATCAAAACGACATCGTTTTATCATTTTAATGGTTGACTAACTTTTGATACGGTCAATGTAGGTTTAGGCACGTTTTAAAAAGTTCAGGTAGTTCTTTTTTAATTATAATGTAGTCCAAGTCATATTTAGAACTGACAATTTGTTCGCGTATTTGACATAATTGAAATTGTTTAGATATGAATAGGCTCTTTTCTCTAAAAATCATTGTTATAAATAAAAATAGACTTATTTTTCTCCATAGCTTGTTTACTGCCACTTGTCTCACTCTCTTTAATAACTATCAATCAAATTAACAACTCTAATGTTAGTCTTTTCAAATAGGAATTTTAACATGAAAACCCCTCAACTAAGTTTATTTTGGGTAAAAACCCCTAAACTAAGTATTTAATGAAAAAATGCCAAATTAACTTTATTTAGTGAATTAAACCCTCGCCGTCATAATTACCAGTACTACCGGTAAATCTTTAGTTTAGGGGTTTTATCATTAAACATAAAAATTCAAAAAAAAAAAAAAATCAAAATATAATAACGTTATCTAAAAATTCGTAATTTTAATTTTCAAAACTAGCATTTTAAAAATTTCTGTAAATATATGAATGATTTCTTATCCTTGTAAAATGGATTTTTTAACTCTAAAATATCTTAACTAAGTTTGTTTTGGGTAAAAATCCCCAAACTAACAAGTAAACCCCCATATTAAACATAGTTGAAGGGTTTTTATCATTAAAAATCTAAAAAAAAAATTATAACACTATCTAAAAAATTAGTAACTTAAATTTTTAAAATTAGCATTTTGCAAACTTTCTGTAAATATATGAGTTTGATTTGTTTTAACATCAATATTATATATATAGATTAAAATTTTAAAACACCAAAATATAATAAAAAGCATCTAAAGATTTATTATTACATTTTTATTAAATAAGATATAATTTTTATTCTGTTTTCTTGTTTTTATATTTATAAATTTTGATAACTTTTATTACAGGTAAATCGTTAGATATTTTTTCTTATATTTTCTTGGTTTTTACATTTTAAATTTATACATATATAATTTTGATTTTAAAAGGTAACAAATCAGACTCATATAGTTACAAATGTTTTTTAAAAAATACTAGTTTTAAAAATTAAAATTACAAATTTTTAGATAATGTTATCATATTTTGAATTTTTTTTGATTTTTATGTTTAATGATAAAACCCCTAAACTGAAGATTTACCGGTAGTACTGGTAATAATGACCAATGAGGGTTTAATTCACTAAATAAAGTTATTTTGGGGTTTTTTCATTAAATACTTAGTTTAGGGGTTTTTACCCAAAACAAATTTAGTTGAGGTGTTTTTATGTTAAAAATCCTTTCAAATAATCTAGTAAAAACTAAAATTTCAATTCCACCAACAATGTGTCTATCAGTTTTCTCTCCTCTGCGTAGCCCCCATCAAATCTGATCCTCTTCATTTTGTTCACGGAATAACTTATATTGATGATGGAGTGCAATTTATTAACCCCACTATATGTTTTTCAGTGCCGATTTCTCAACTCTCCTATCAACGAATGCTACATATATATTTGTCATCAAGATGCTACTGAGAAATCACAAATCTTCTTCAAATAATACTATCGTAAAAACCTCAGAAGAATACTGTTAGCCGATGGTTACATCGGTTTATAGTTACATCGGTTTATGGGTACATCGGTATGTCCGGTTACATCGGTTTATGGTTACATCGAGACTTGGGGAGTAAGTTGCATCGGAGATATTGTGATATTGTGATATTAATGAGTAGATGTCGATAAGGAAAGATCTAATGTGTTGTGATCTCATTGTAACAAGTATATATGTAGTCTCCACATCGTGAATACAACGCAGAACATTCTCAACTTCTTCTTCCTTAGTTTACAAATACCATCCAGGAATGACAATAACTTAACTTCAATTTTCCTATCTAAAGTCTGGACATTTGAAGGATGTTGTTGTTGCACATCTTCTGTGGTTTTGAGAGGCTAGGAATGTGAAGAAAGGATGAGAGCTCACATCTTCCACGATGAGAAGGTAGCCATTAATCAACTTCATTTGTTGTATTTGTCCTATAGTTCTGCTTCATCTTTCGAAAGTAGGGAATTGAAGATCAATTTAATATTTTACAGTCTACGCTGGTCCAAGGGTCAATTAGTGCTTATAAACTGAATCGGTCCTTACACAAAACTTATACCATAAAAAATTTAAATGTTTCTCTTACAGTTCCCTGATTCCTTTCTTAACATATGCTCTATTTTCTTTGTGTGTATGTAGCTATATTTAAATGATTCTCGGTTCAGCTGAAGTGGAGAAGGCAGAGTATCCATTCAGAATGACAGCTACATATACTCGACAATGGAACTCAGGTTCCTCTATAGTTTTAAATCCATTTTTGAGAAACTCCTTCTCAGATCAGTAATTGATTTGTTTTTAAATCTGCAGCTTACTAATCTATTTCAAATTCAAGGAACTCATCCTAAAGGTATCTTTGAATCCATTATGCAGAAATAAATGCTTAAGTTTCTTCTATTTCAGCTGTCATGTTCAATAATTTTTCTTAAGCTGGATGGTTATGTTCGGCCTCCTCCTCGCTCTCTTCCCAACCAGTAGGGTAACAGTAAATGACCGATGCGTGGAAGTTAAAAGTAATTGTGAGAGCTTGAGATGAAAGTGAAAGTCTGGCCAACGATTTTCTGTAGACATTATGGGAGGGCTGCATGCAAGGGAACTCCTACACCTGCGCCCAGTGACCAGAATCTTTTACGGCAACCAACGTCCACCTGTTCAGTGTTTTGTAGACTAGGTTGTGTTCAGGGGCGAAGCTAGGAGTTTTTTTAGTGGGTACATAATTAATAAAAGGAGAATTAAAAGACAGTAGGGTAACAGTACGTGACCGATGCGTGGAAGTTTAAAGTAATTGCGAGAGCTTGAGCTGAAAATGAAAGTCTGGCCAACGATCTTCTGTATGCATTATGGGAGGGTTGCATGCAAGGGAACTTCTACACCTGCGCCCTGTGCCCAGAATCTTTTACGGCAACCAGCGTCGACCTGTTCAGTGTTTTGTAGACTAGGGTTGTTCATAGGGGAAGCAAGGAGTTTATTTTAGTGGGTGCATAATTAATAAAACGAGAATTAAAAGGAAAAGTGTGTTGGTTAAACCTTGGATGTTTAAGGGTGGACATGTAGACTTTAACCATTATAGCTGGCTAGAACTTCGACTTTTACTTACAAAACTCGTTAATATTGAGAAAATTATGGGTGCACGTGCACCCAAAACTATTTTATTGGCTTCTCCCCTGGTTGTGTTGTATCTGAAATAAAAATTTAAATGCTCAAATAAGTCCAACTCTAACCTTCATAAGTCCACACTCACAGAGAGGTGATTGTCACCTGACATGCATGGTGCTGTCATCAAAACTAAACAGCCTATTCCTATGTTGAACAGGAGTGGACCAGAGAACTGAACAAAAGGTGGTGAAGATATATTGCATTGTATAAAGACCGGTAGACCCGTCACCGGAACCTCTTCAAAATGTTGAGGTTGTTAGTTTCAAATGAAGGTCCATCAAATAAGAAAGCACAAAACTTTGTTTGAAAAAAGAAGAAGCTCAAAACACATGATTGTTTCAAAAGTGGAGATTATGCGCCTGAAAGAGAGTATTAAGACAAGTCTTTTGTCAAAAAGAAAAGAAGTATTAAGACGCAGTTTCATATTTGAGTTTCTATGTATAAGTCCAATAATGATGTTGTTCCTAATATTTTTGTCAACCCAGGATGATCTGGTTATTGTCGTTTTATGTTTTAATTGGTTTTAAAACAACTTGGGTTTTAATGGTATGAGTTTTAAGACGGAAAATTCAATAATATTGTCACCACCTCATTTTGAACGGAAAACTTAACACCGTAAAGCACACTGCAGGAGGTAATAGCATAAATTCACATAAATATTACCGTAGACATCCATTATATGGCACTAGCTTTGTGCTGCTTGCTTGTCAAATAACATGAATTTTTTTTTTCATCATATGTTCCTTAGAATTCTCTGATCTTTTTAAAAAGCATGATAACACAATACTAATCAAGTCAATGAAACATTTAAAAAATATATATATGTATATTAAAAAAATTCAGGTAAAG